GAACATTTTAACATTGAAAACCCTATACAAGATGACCAGTTAGCAAGCAGGGTGTCATACTTAGTCAGAAGCTATAGCTAAAGCTGTAGAAAATTTAAAGATTCGGAATTCCCATGAAGTCAAACAGCTAGAACACTTCCAAAAAATACGTTCTTAAGCCATGGCTTTTTTACATGTTAACAAGATAGTGTTTAACAGGTCTGTCACAAAAACTCCTGATCAGATTCTGCTCTCACTTCTGTTGAGACAAACCTGCAGTAGAAGGGATTCAATCCTGCTATATTTATGTCAATAGAAAGAAGAAAAATAAATAAATAAAAATGCAAATTTGGTATTTATTTGGGTATTCATTTAACCAAGTTCCTTTCACTGTGTAACTCAACACAGCTTCTAAGGCACAAGACATCTAATATGATGTTTCACTTTGGCTATGGAGATTAGAGTCTTATTTAACTTGATTTGTCATTACAAAAAAAAATAAAAACAACAACAGGAAGTCAAAGGCATTTCTGCACTTAAAAGAGAGGAGAACAAAGTAACAATATTCCATTCTAAAACATGTATCTCAAAAATGTTTCATTAGCCATCTCTTATGGGCTGACAACCATCCATGGCTGCTGCATAAACAGCATGGTAAATGTCAGGGGTCAGGTTTACAATTTTTGAAGCAGCAACAGAAGAGCTGAAATGCTGCTCACCAACAAACAGCTTCATCCAGACTTCTCAGTTTAACAGCTTGTCATTTTTTTCCATCCGATTTTTAAATTGAAAGGCATCAGCTTTCTTAATCTATGTCTTAATACCCAGGAAACGAAAAGCTCTACTTCATACACCCTTTAGGATACCACAGATAATAACAAACATTTAATTCATTCAACTACTATTGCTTAATCTACCAGCAATATCAGCATCATTAGTTTAAGCCTCCACATTTTGCTCAGACAGGATCACATTTTAGATTAAGCATCCAATTATGGGCTCATAAAGCCACATTACTGGCATTTCCTTCTTAGCAGAGTGTGGTTTAATTGGCAAGGGCCTTTTTTCCTATGACTAGCCTAATTCTAAAGAATGTCATATGCCCTTCCGAACAACACATCAAACTGCAGGGGAAGCGCTCTGAGCAATACCCTCCTGAATAAATCTGTCCAGCTTACAGCCATTAACACAAATCCCAACTGCTCTTCCCATCAACTGATATTGATGACAGTGACAAGGACACTGCAAGCTTGCTTTGGTGGCCATTAGTAAATTCAATTTCATTCTTTAAAAAAAAAACAACACAATAACATGCCAAACACTTGTGTATATATCAAGCTAAAGACAATGGTTTAAAGAAGCACAGGTTGACAAATAGCCAAATGACCTCACATTTAGCTATATTCAGCATCATATTATATGCTCAAGAGAACAAGATGCAAATATGTGATATTACAATTAGGGATTAAGGTTTTAATGCCATGAATTTAGGATAATTGGCAGTAAAAATATTGAGGAGCTGTTATGCTGGTTACAACAAATGACTTTTTCAAACCCTTATAACATAACACCACCACATTTTATAAGCAATTAAAAATCTCAGAGTTTCTGAAGAACTTTACAGGCAATCTCTCTCTATTTTAGCATCTATAAAGCCAAACTCCTTTTGGGTCATGAACAGAGAGTACTAATATACAAATACGTTATAAAAGTTTAAAGCAAAAAAGGCTCTCCCACAGATAACTATATTTTTTGACATTCTAGATTATTAAGATAGGAAATCACTTTTTAGCCATTAATGCTTCTTTATAAATACTATTAACTTTTAAAATATCAGCTTCAGACCTTTTCTTATGCACCTTTTCTTATGCTCTTACATGACAAAAAACCTCACAAAATAGCTTCTTTCTTTTTTCCCTGTTTACAGTACTTCACCTCCAAAAGGTGAAGCCCAAAGTGCCAAGCAGGAAATATTAATTCCTGGATCCAAAAACACTAAACATAAGGGAGTATACCTTCCAAGGGGACAAAGAACACTTCTGCTCCATTTTGATCAGTTTTAAGATACTGTTTTTTCAATCACAACACTCCTGTGACAATTGTGGCAGGCAGTCCATGGGGACACTCATTTGCTCAGGACATACATACTGCTGGTTTCTTTACTATCATGACAGATCTGAGATTGCCAATGTGACAGCTCCTTTGTGTACACAGTTGGAGACTTAGATGAAAATCCACAAAAACAGATAAAGGCAGCAGTTGCACTCATGAAGTCAACTATGTGCAGTTGAGTCTCTCTTAAGTATACGATTGCAAGCACAGTTCCTCTTGAAACAAGAATACGCACTTCCTGAAAAAACAAGTTACACCAAACATCATGCTTCAGAACAAAGTGACTAATGCTGTCCCTTCACCAGGCAATATGCACTGAAAACTTCTTTCATACAATATTGTAAGTCCTACTTTTCCCTCTAGGGCCTGTTTAACTGAAGACAATGTGATGAGGAAGTCTTGCTTTTATAAGCAAAGACCAGGAGTTAAAAAAAAAAAATCATTTTTTTACCTGTAAAATACAAAATACGTGCAGCCCACAAAAGCCCTGATGATGTGGTTCACTAGAAACACTTCATTAGCATTCACTGGGATGACAGATAGAAATCATTCATGTGTTTGCCATGGATTCACTCTAACAAATTCAATTCCAGAGCACAGCATCCTGCCCACATGGGATACAACCACCAAAGGGTTTTTCCAAGAGCACATGCAGCAAGAATGCTGCTGGCTGCAACAGGCACAATTAGGGGACTCCAACTTTCCAATAGCTTCATCAGCACACAGGTGTCTGTTGCAGGCTGAAGTTTCTTGCGAAATTTAAATATTAGGACTTTCTCAGGAAATTCTTTAGGGAAATAAGCATGTCCACTTCCAAAACTATTTAGGTATCTTTTTATCAGTTAAAACTAAAAAACCAAAACAACCCACGTTTTGGCAGTCAAGTGTCACAGAGTAGCCACATAGACTTGAGAGTATTAGCAGTCTTCCCCTGCTTAGGTACCCTGGCACTAAAAAGAAAACATAGCTTGAGCTCAGCATTGGAGCACAAACGCAAGGCAGAAGCAAGAAATATGAAGGGCATGATGCAATGAAAGGATCAGGGGAATACTGGAGAAAAGACAGAACAGTATTCCATCAAAAATGAGCTAAACTGAAACTGAACTCTTGAAGCTCCATTAGCAAGTACCTGTAAAATCCACTAGAAAAATTCAAATGGTATCTTTACTTCCAATGACTCCCTCCTTATTGTAGTTACAGACTATTTGAAGAAAATTATTTAGAACTATGCTCTTCAAACTATTTAGGCAATGCATCACTTCCTTAAGATAAAAGCTGTTTTATGAATGAACATAAATGACTGCAAAGACAGTGGGACATACAGCAGAGAGGTGCTGTGTCTCTTCCAAAGTTCAAGTTCAGACTGCTTCATAGGTTATGATTTACGATTCAAACTGGAATATATGAGCAGTTACATATCAAATTTTTCCTTCTTGGGACCCAACAGACAACACTAACTTGCAGCATCTTTATTCTACAAATATTGCTGCAGTAAACAACTATAACTGAAGTCAACGTGAGAATACAATCTCGATAACAGAAATGCTAAAATAAATACCAAATTATCCCAGGAGGTGAGTCTGGAGGCATCTGCTACACACAGAAAAAATACCTGATTTTATTGAAGTTACCTGTGCACCAGTGTCCTGTCTATACAAAGGGTATTATATACTTTGCTTATCATATGGGATACAAGTAAGATTAAGCTAATGTTTGCAAACCCTTTAGATACTACAGTGCAGCACCAGTGGAAGAACTGAGCAAAGCAGCAGTAATTCTGTATTCAGACTGGTATTTGAATGATGCATTAGACCACATGCTGAATAAAACAGCACAACAGACTGAAAGCAGTTTGTTCAGAAGATTGGTCCAGTACAGAAGGGAGAAAGGGAGGGTGAAAGAGAAGTGGAAGAATCTGGTCAGATAATTACAGGCTTTCTGACAATGCACACACACAAAGCAGCCATATCAAGATTTTTCTATACACCCTTAACTCTGTTCTATTTTTCTTCATTATTAGCTGCTTGATAGTTCTGTCACTATTTACAGCTATTTGTAAATATTTCAGACAAACAACACAGCATGTGTCCATGTGTGTCAGAAAAGAAGTTAAGGAGTAAAATCTATTCATGTTTACATGCTTACAGCACACAGCCAGTGGATTCCATGATCACATACTACCATTAGGAAACCAACATCACCAGATTTATATGTAACTAACTGCCTTCACATTTAGATAAGGGTTACAGAACCCTTATAACCTGTTATGAAAGCAGTGACTGATTTTGCAAATCACAATGAGCATTTTTTCACCATATAGCTAGCATCTGTTACTGCTTCCATTTTTACATTAAAAACACTATTTTACAATCTATATATACAAGGTATGGCTTTATTACCACATAACCCTGCTCACTCTAATGGCAGCTATGATGAATCCACATAATACAACCAGGAAATTTCCATATTGACGCTATACAACACTTTTAGCATTTATTCTTTAAAAATCATTACCTGTGTATACTTTAGGTTATCTCCACCTAAAGTACACTCTCAAGACCTTGGATAAATTTCAAAGAAAGACATTACATTATTTATACTGGAGTGGCAGAGAGGGTGGATAGATGGTGTGGAACTCTGATTTTACAGTCCTTCCCCAACAAGAAACAATCCAGGTTTCCTTTCATGCATTTGTGACACTGTAATAACCATCATCTACTTGACTTTAATTAAGAATATATAAAAATTAATATTTTTCTCTTTGGAGAATTATCCCCAAGTGATGTCTACGAGAAAAAACAAACCAAAGGCCTCATTTAATCCACCTACTCCAGCGTTCAATTTCGCCCACAATGCGTAACTGGAATTGCAAGTGGATTTAAAGAGACCATGAGAAAGAAGGAACTCACCATTCTAACTACTTCAGGGTAAGTCTGCTCTGTCAAACAGCCTCTGCTTATTGTAATGTAGTCCACCAGTTCATTAAGAGTGGAGCGCTTGTATTCTTTCATTTTAAGGTCTGAAAGCGTGTCCATGAAGTCAAAAATGACACAGCACTGTTGAAGTTTCTTTAGGAACAGTTCAGGCTGCTCTGAAGATGGAACGTCTATGAAACAAGAAAGGAAATATTTGTGAGTCTGACATCTTATTATACAAAACAGGATTTCTTTCTGAAGATCAATTTCAAAGGAAAGCAGCATTCATATAATTTTTGTAAAACAGAGCTCAGATTAACAAACAAACCCCTTATAGAAACTGTATTACTACTGTGCATTTCAGATCTCTAACAACATGCTGTAGAAGTAATTTAATCATCACCTGCTATTAAGAAAATAAAGTTCACCAATAAAGTGCAGGCTGAAGCAGCAAATGCGCACACAACGGCATTCAAGATGTAATTCTGTGATATACCACTGTTTTCACTGAAGGCTGACATTCACCATCAATAACATACACTCTGAAGAAGGATGAAAGAACTGTCAAACAGATCAAGCTTGATTAATTTATATTTCTAAACACCCTATATGAATATACATAAATATGCATATGAATACACAGCAAGACTATAATTCTGCAAACAAGTTTTCAGATTCAATCATTACCCCAATGTTGACACTTTCCATAGCAAAATCAATTTTACTGAACCATAGTGAGGACTATTTGCTGTACTATGAAGACATAACATACATCAATAGGAACATTTTCACAGAAAATGATGATACGTGCTTGACCAGGGAAGTATGAGAACATACTACTTTTGCTCTGTTTTCTTAATTCTTAGCAAATAAAAGACTTAATAAAATAGGAAAAGGAATGTAAACTTCCTCATGGTTTGTTAGTTTACCAAGTTCATCAAAAGAGCACACAGAAAGCTTAGTTTATCCAACATTCATGTACACCAGAGGCTAACAGCAGCAGAAAGTTGCAGAAATTAAATATGAATTTCTACTCTGAAAGTATGCCCTCAAACTAGAGGACACTTCACTTCCTTTGGTCAACTTTCTAAAGGCAAAAATGGTCTGTCAGCACCAGAATCCAGCAAATTACCTTCCAAGCCACAACACATAAATTAAAACTTTTGCTGATTTCAACTAGAAAATTTTAATAGTAAAGAATTGATGTTCATTTCCTAAAACTTGTACATACTTAAAAAAAGCCAGTCTAAGGCAGAACTTCTTATGGCTGACACGAGAGTATGTTGAGTTAAGGAATACTTGTCAAACACTGGAAACTGTTAGTAATTGTAGAGTAGTTTTAAGGACAAAGTACCATGAATCTGTTTTAATTAAAACATACAAAACAGTTATTAATTTGAAGTTCAAAAAGCCTATGAAATATTACAAGGTCACAGTACATAGTTCCTAAGAAGTACTGATAGAGATGCAAGGACCCCAAGGCACTTCACATCAACTCTCTGCATTGCTTAAACACTGAGAAGAATAAATACGGACTGCAGTATAAATAACTTTCTGACCTGACATGATGAAGTACAACAGTTTATTCAACCTTTTTCTGCTTATAGTACTGCAGTAGTGACAGGATTCAATAGGTTGTGCAAACTGCATCCCAGAAAACACAACCACGATCCGGGTAAAGTTTAACTGATGGTATCAGGCAGTACACACCAATCTCTTATTCATTAGGCTTGGGTAAACTCTGCAACAGCTGTGTCCAAGGGAGATTAAGGGAGAGGAGGGAAGCTTTATAGTTATGACACCACACTTCATATCATCAGAATTGTTCGCCCCATGTTCCCAAAGGAACGGTGGAACATCTGTGGCACAGAAGATGCAAGTGGACCTACAGACTCCCAACAGCAGCAGCTATGCAAGAAAAGAATCTTCCTCAAACACCTCTGGAAAAATGAAGGTCCCAAAACCAGGTCACCCTAAAGCTATTCCTCTGGCCAGCTCTCTTACACAGGTTCCTCTTGCCTCACAGCAGGCAGTGGGGAAACCTAAAATAAGCCGGAGTCAGAGAAACTCATTAGCCTTCACCCATTACAAAAACCGACCACTTCTGTGAGCAGCCCCTTTCTCAGGTTACAGCCTCACAGGAGATAAAGGGCCTGGGGAAGCAAAGTACTTGTTTTCTTGACTACTCGCCTTCAAATAATACAAGAAAGTAGAGCAGACTTCAGAATTCACTGTTATTAGCATGCAGGCAACAGTTAATCAATTAACAATTTCTTTCCGAAGCTGGACTGTAAATACCAGCTGAAAAGAGAAGAACAACAAGGGAAAACAGAGAGAGAGATAAAACTGCAATTAGTTACTTTTCAAGAGTATTGTTTTTAATTGTAGCTTCCACTCTTTCGTATACGATCTATAATCCACCACAGAACTTGACAACATGTAAATGGTATCAATAAAATCTATGATGTTACATGAACATCGTTTTAGTTGCATTGTTCTACATGGCTTTCACACATTCACTTTGACCAACAAGACTATCATGGTCAAAATGAAAAACAGACTGAAATCAAACAGGACTCCATTAAGACACAGTTCAGCACAAGTTACAACCAAACTCATATGACTCAAGGCAACACTCATTTTAAGGTAGGGTTGGTGTTAAATAAAAATTTAAAAATGACTAAAGCATTAAAATAACTAATAAAAGTTTGTTTTCATTTTTCCTCAAGTTAAGTGTCTGGATGTGTGGGAACACAATGAAAAATATAATTAAGTTCTTCTCAAGAAAAACCACTCTAAAGCAGTAGATGAAATTCATTGCTGCCTTACTACATTGAGCCATGTGAACTACAGTGGTAAACCAAAAAAATAAACTCAATCATAAAACCCCACAAATAACCAACAAAAAGAAAAAACTACTAAAGCCCCCTGAAATAAACCTCGCAAATCAATTATTCTGGTTAGATCCGCTTTTCTTTATTAAGCAAGCTGCCATTTACAGTAAAAAACAAAACTTCAAGAAATGTCATGCAATATTTCTCGTTGCTCCTCGGGATTCAGAGTGCCACCACATGCCTTCGTTTTTCTACTTGGAAACAGCAAAAGTATATGAGTGTAAATTTTAAGGGGTCCTAATGTGCACAGCACAAGAAAAGGGCATCGGAAATCAGTAAAAGCAGCATTCCATGTTCCCAGTCTTCCCACAGAGACCATACTATTAGTTGGCTTGGGTTTGGGGTGGTTTTGTGTTTTCTTGCTTATTTGTTTGTTGGGGGGGGGAGGGGGAAGAGGGTTTGGGTTTTTTTTTTGTGTGTGTGTTTCACTGTTGTACAGACCTTACCGAAAGGTCACTAAGAGTGGACTTTCCCAGCCATCCTCTTGCTATTTGGAGCAGGAAGCAAACTGGTGCTTGGGGTACAGACCTATTGAGCTCCATAGCAGAGCTGAGCTCCTTAATGCAATGACTTGAAAAGAAATGTGCAGCTCCTTACAGATGTTCACAGTTTGCAGATGAAAAACAGCAAATAATTTCTTCTCAGCAGAAGCATACTCAGAACTTTCAATGAATTCTGCATCACTTTACTCTTGCACTAAGGTGCAGCCAAACATTTAGGGCCCAAAATTTGACAACCTGCAATATTACATTGTATCTACTTTTAGTTGAAAGAACTGAAAACTCAGCAACTGCTCTGATAAATCTGTGTAAATACCAGTAATACTTTAATAATCTAAAAAGTTAAACGGAAATGACACAATTAACTGGTGTGTGTGATTTATGTCAAATGCACAGGAGAGTATATATTTATTAAAATAAAGATTTAAAGAAAGATAAACTTCCATCTGGATGACTGTGAGAACCCTCCTCATTTTCAGAAGGTCTTTGCTACAAGTTAATTTTCAGGCTTGTCAGTTTTCTTTTTGGCCACTGAAACCTATACAGAGCTTTTGAAATACACTGCGTATTCAAAGATTCAAAGGAAACTGGTTTAGTGAAAGCAAGTACTAATACATTGGAACAATGATAATCAAGAGAGCATCAGAGCCTTTAACAAAAGAAACTCTTTCACAAAGTTATCAGGAAAATTGTCTGAAAGTAGTGTAATCGGGTTTTTTAGACATGGACGAACAATTGTTACTACAAGGGCTGAAATACTAATTCTAAAATGGCCAAAGCAATTCAGTTTTTCTCTTAATAGTCTCTCCCAAAATAATCCTAATCCAAGCAGCCCATCCCTTCTCATCAACCATCTCTGCAGTCTCTGCCTTCTGTATCTTTCATCAAATACAGAGTAAAAATCTGACACCATACTACTTCTGCAAATCTCCTACATGCATAAAAAATATTCATGTTTAGACTACATTCATATTTAATTGATGTTATGTACAAGTAAATAATTTTGGATCATAAAAAACTAAAACTATGCATTAGACCAGCAAAACTGCATATAGAGGACTAAGCTATGGTTCTCCTCTCAGTGGTTAAAAGCAAGAATGGAGAGAAACTAAACAGCTGGATCAGTTCCCTGATCCGTTTCAGCCTGTAGTTCTCCAATGAAAGGTATAATGCTAGGAAGTGAAGATGGTGGAAGGGATTGAGCTGCTTAAAACCAGCATGGCAACTATAAGGAAAAGTCCCAGGACTGCACATGCAAGAGATAATAGGGCTTTGAATTAGAAGAAAACAGGACAAATAATGCAGATCACATATAAAATATTAAGCAAAACTAGGATATGCTCACAAATGCTACCCTGCACCCACATAGGTACTATCAAACATTTATTAATAATTAAAACAAAAATGCCCTCAGAATTAACTATTGCTTCCAGTATGTAAGTTACTGTTATTAATCAGCTTGAAGGTGACATTTGCATACGGAACTAGCATCACCTTCTTGTCTGACAGTAAAAGCAAGCTCCACATTAAGCATGAAAAATAAGAACACACACACAAAACCCAAAGTATGTCCAGAATGTGGGACAGTGAGATTAATACTAACTTTTTTACTCACATTAATTTTAAGAACTTACTTACAGTTTCCCAGCATCTAAGAACTCTATATTCAATTGCCTCTGCCCACTGGGATTCTTTCATGTATTCTTTCCCTATCAACTTAATGCAAAATAATTCCCCAACTTTTCTTCAGTTTCCGTATCTTCCAGTTATTAAATAAACCTAGGACCATCATCTTTC